TAGCTCCATGTGTCTTTTCCACAGAATGCCTTGCAGGGAGCTAGCTATTTATCTCCTTGGTGCCTCCAAATGAGGTCATTAAGCTGCGACCTGATTCACAGGCTAAACTCTACCCCTTCACTCTTAGTCTCAAAGTGGCACCAGATTATGTAACTACCACAGACCACCCCTTGTCAATTTGACACTTTCACACAACTCTTTAGCCACATGTAATTTTCAAACAAACAATAATAAAATCTTACCTGTACCTAATAGGATAAAACTAAAATGCATACAATTCAATATGTGCCAAAGCCTCATTTGAACATAATATTCTATAAGTGAACAACAATTTTGTGAGCCTAACAATTGCAGTTAAGTAACACCTACACCTTAATCCTATAACCCTATGAATATATTCCCCTACCTATGAAAGTTTGTAAGCCAGCAACTTCATGTCTTTATTTTCCCAATTTTGGGTATCCAGTTTCTATACTGCCCACTTTTTATGGCTGCCATTGGCTTGGTAGATTTTTTGCCATCTGTTTATTTTTAGTCGATTTTTGCCTTTGAGTTAAGGTGTGTCTCTTGCAGGCAGCATATCCACGGGTCTTGTTTCCAGTCCAGCCTGAGTCTCTCTTATCTTTTGATTGACGCGTTTAATCCATTGACATTCAGTGTCATCAGTTTGGCTTCTCTTTCCTTTGTGCGTGTGGTTTGATTGGGTCTTTGCTCCGCCTTTGTTTCTGTGATAGTTTGCGTGCTGCTTTCCACAGACTGGTGTCTGAGGGCTGCTGTCTTGTCCGTTTTGCTCAGGTTTGTCTGCTGCTGTTGCTCATTTCTATGTCTATAGTGATCAAGCTAAGATTTTGTAATGCTGGACTTGTTTCTGCGAATTCCTTTAGTTTTTCCTTGTCTAGAAATACTTTTATTTCTCCTTTGTATTTGAGGGATGATTTTTGTTGGATATAGGATTCTTGGTTGGCAAACTTTTTTCTTTCAGAGTTTTATATATATCATTCCATGGATTTCCTGCCCTCATAGTTTTTTTTTCTTTCTTGATTTTATTTATTTATTTATTTATTTTTTTAACATTTTATTAGGGGCTCATACAACTGTTATCCCAATCCATACACACATCAATGGTGTAAAGCGCATTTGTACATCGTTTCTCAAAACATTTTCTCTCCATTTAAACCCCCGACATTAGGTCCTCATTTTTCCC